GGGTAGGGAAGGGTAAGCCACAAAAGTTAATTGCTAAAGAAGCTGGTTGTTCACAGAGTGCTGTATCCAAGCATATTCATAGAAAGTTGAGTGGAAGGAAAAAGTGTGGTAGGAAAATGTGCACCAGCAAAAGGGATAACTGCAGCCTTGAGAGGATTGTCAGGCAAAATCCATTCAAGAATTTGGGGGAGCTTCACAAGGAGTGGACTGAGGCTGGCGTCAGCGCATCAAGCAGTGCTACAGGCTGACTGCCTCCATGCCACGCCTCATTGATGCAGTAATTCATGCAAAAGGAGGCTCAACCAAGTATTGAGTGCATAGAAATGAACATACTTTTCAGAAGCCTGACATTTCTGTTTAAAATATCCTTTTTTATTGATCTTATGTAATATTCTAATTTTCTGAGACACTGAATTTTGGGTTTCCCTTATCTGTAAGCCATAATCATCAGAATTTCAAGAAATAAAGGCTTGAAATATTTCACTCTATGTGTAATGAATCTATATAATATATGGATTTCACTTTCTGAAATGAGTGACAAAAAATATTGACCTTTTTCATGATATTCAATTTTTTTAGATGTACCTGTATATCAATGACACTAAAATAATGCTGATTTTACTACAACTATATTTACCCTTTTAGAAGAAATCTTCAGAGTTTTGACAGCAGCAGGAGTCTGGAAAAATTAGATGGACAAATTTACAACATTCAAAATCATGCATTAGGGGATTTTAAGGTCATTCCTACCCAACAGCAAAAAGTCAGCAATATTCGGTATTTTTGTACCTTAAAAACCTCAACCTCTTCCAAAATGAGCTCTTCTGTTGTGCTGATGTCTTTTGGTAAGACAATCACCTTCTGGACTGTTCCACGATCTAAAGTTCAAGGTGAATCATGGGTAGATTAGATTTGCCCATGTTTGAAAAGATTTACAAATTAGGTGGTTCATGTTGCAATGCTGCACCTTCTCGTGCAACTTCAGGAAGAACTCATCCTGCATGTAACTAAACAGAAAGTATCTGACATAATCATAAATGTCTAACCTGTGCCCAGGAAGAGCACCTCGTATCTTCCATCCACAGCATCCACCAGGTCCACAGCAATAGTGGTGAAACGGTAGTCAACGCCAGTTCTGACCACCAGAGGGCGCTTGTGTATCGGATATATAGGCTGATACATCAGCGGATGTGCACGTACGAAGTTTACAGCCTCGTCAGAGAAGGCTTTAGTGGTGTGGAGATCAGGGGTGAAGGTTCCTCCAGGACACTAAACAATAAAATTGAGCAGAAATATCAAAATAGAATGAGATAGCAACAAAGACAATAATAAGATACAGTACAAAACTGGATTTCATAAGCAATACTCACAGTCCCCGGGCGAGGGTAAGGAATTTTGCCAGTATAAGGTGTCCACTGGTAGTTGTGACCATGTTTGTGAGAGAAGGGTCCATTAAAGACATTTCTGATGTCTGCCATTGAGTACACACACACGGCAGAGCCTTTAAACACAGAGCTGGAAAGGAAAAGAGAGAAACAGCATTGGCATCATAACTCATTTAACAAAGAACCATCGATATAAACACTGATCTGAAGGAATAGAGATGTTACACAACACAGAGGCTTTTTGGGTTCAACTATGCCTTTTAATCTATATTTAAATTATGTTCAAAACATTTCAGGAAGATTAGGAAGTATTTTGTTTCAGAAAAAAAGTATTTTATGACCATTTATGTGATAAAACACTTTTGTTTAATTAAATGTTTCCCTGTTGAAAAAAATATCTTAATATTTAAAAAAAATAAAATCTTACGGACGCCAAACATTTGAGGTTTTAGATGTTTGCATGAGATTATCTCACCCAGCAGTGGAGAACACAGCATACACGATGGGGTTCCGTTCATCATGGGTCCTCTGGATGAAAACATCCCCTACAAAACAAACAGACATCAGGCATCAGAGACAGACAGAGAGCTGATTTAGAACATGTTATGATCATGGAGGGAAAAAAACATATGCCATACTCAGTTCATCAAAGTAAGTCTCAACACCATCTGCACCAATCACAGAACAGACCAGTCGTGCTTTAAGGAACGTCGTCCACTTGTTGACCAATGACCTTTGACCTCCATCATCATTCTAAAGGGAAAGCACACAAACAGGAAAAAAAGAGATTAGACTTTAAACAAACCTTGGGTTCATCTGATTTGCATAATGAGTTGCATGACAAAAATCATCATGATTAAAAGTTGATTATTAAGTCAGATTGTGACTTAAGGAGTCAAGTCTTGTGTCTAACATCATGATTTTCTCACCAGACAGACTCGGCCTACTCTCGCGAGGACGCTCGGAGTACTGCCCCCCGAAGCATCTAAACTCTTCTCCCGAAAGAAGAAGTAAAGCTTATCATCATTCTTCTCGGCACTGTCTGGAATCTTCTGGATTTTTATAAACACAGGCTCTGATGGAGAGATAAAGGGATTTGTAAAGAGATAAAAGGGATAATATTTGTCACCGGTCCATCTTTTCATTTTAATCACTGTACCCCTCTGCTCATATCATACCATTCAGCCATCGGGAGTCATACTGTTCTGTTCTGACAGCGGGACGGTCTCCCAAGGTTCTGAAGATGGCTGGATCTGTACCCATAAAGTCCACATGTACCCCAGCATACAGGTTCCCATCTGACGAGGGTAGAATGAGAGTAATGTGGAGAGAGAGAGACAAATCATGATGGATGAAGACTGGCTAAATTTATACTACTGGCCCATTTATACTGCTAGAAGACCCTTATACAACTAGAAGTGCTTAACAGAATAGTTCCCACACTTCTGACCAAGGAATTTCCACGACTCCAGTCGATCAAGGTCACTGGTTAAGTATTTTCAAAAATAACTTCATAAACATTTCTTAAGCAAATTTCCATTTCTAAGTCAGGTACCAACACCTATGAACTTATAGATTTAAACAATTGCACAAGTTTTGCTCTACGAAGTGAGTAAAATATACTACTGTTCAAAGGTTTGGGGTCTCTATGGTTATTTCTTTGAAAGAAATGAATACTTTTATTTAGCAAGGATGCATACAATTGATTTAAAAAAGGCAGTTAAGACATTTATATTGTTACAAAAGATTTTTGTATTTCAAATTGATGTTGTTCTGTTGGACTTTCTATTAATTAAAGATTCCTGAAAAAAAAAATCACAGTTTCCACAAAAACATTAAGCAGCACAACTGTTTTAACAGTGATAATAATTAAAAAATGTGTCTTGAGCAGCAGCAAATTAGATATTAGAATGATTTATGAAGAATCATGTGACACTGAAGGCTGGAGTAATGGCTTTAAAATCTAATTTGTGCTTTTTGGAGCTTGACTACATGCTTTTGTTATGAGAGATACAAAAGAGCAGGGGAGAGAGGTCTCACTGATCAGAACTGCTGCATTCTCCTGGTGGGGATCGTAAGGAGACTTTCCTTTTCCAGAGTCCACATAACCAGGAACCAGCCGGAAAAGGTATTCCTACACACAATCACACACAACTTATAAGTTAAGAAAGTGAATGTACTGCAGCGCTAATGTTTTTTATATGTGTAAAATTGTAAAAGATACATTTTTAATCAAATTATTGCACCCACATGCACCAACATCAAACATGCACCAAACATAAAAAATCAAAATAAAATAAAATGTTGTTGATCATCATTTTTTTTATATTGGTAATCTTTGTTATTGCTGATGAAATACAGAAATCATTGTCATTCACAAGATCAAGACAGCTGTACTGTAAACAGCAATATGTACCTCAGCTCTCCAGCCTCTGTTGATGAAGGTGCAGATGGGTTTATAAGCTCCTGTGCCGCAGGTGTACAGGTGAGTCCTGTTCCACGGTTCAATCAGACGCACAAAGTTAGCACACTCTCCCTGA